GTGGCCACTCAGCTGGGTTTGTAGCCAACCCTCTGCAAAGCCAAGGCTATTTTGGGAGCAGGGATGGGGGTGAGCACCAAGCATGCCGTGGTGTGGGTGTCCCATGGGAAGTGATGGCCTCTTCCTGCCCCGCAGCTTTGCTCATCCTCCTCTGACCGTCCCGGGCGGGGACATGGGATGACAGCGGGGAAAGTCTCCAGCTCCATGGCCACCTGCTTCACTCACCATCCACTCCTGGGAGCAGGATAAGGTTTGATTTGGGGGTTTGCAGATGCTTCAGAAAGGGATGTGTGAGCCTCCGGGGTGCCGGCACCACCCGACGATGGGAACTGCAGTGCGGTGAAGTGGGGTTGCAGCCTTTGCCAGGGCTCCTCTTGGGAAAGCTTTGATTTTGCACGTGGGAACCGAAGGCACAGACCTGCGGGCTGCCGCCGCGGCGCTGGTCCAGGCCCTGCTGCCATGGCCTGCCAGTGGGATGTGTATGGTCATGTTGGAGGAAGCTGCTGTCTAAGCTTGTTGAACGGCAGTTCACCCTCCGGAAACAGGCACCGCGAGCAGCAATTTGGATTTGGATGGTTCTCCCGTCCCACCCCAAGCCCCAGCAGACCATGGCCTGATTTCCAGGAACACAACAGCCCTGAACGTCAGGCTGAGCTGAACTCTGTGCCGCAGATAAGCCTTGGAAGATCTCCCGTTTTCCATCCCTTTACATGGATCTGTCCCAGATGCTTGGCCCATGATGGAAGAGCACCAGCTGAGTCAGATGCATAAAGGTGGACACTGCGAAAATCTGGTCTTACGTTCCCTGCTGATGCCCTTTTTCACCAGTTAGACTTGGGACGTGTCCAGATCCATTCCCAAAGGACTTTGCTTTTCTTCCCAGAAAGTGGGGATGTGTTCTGGGTCTCTGGCCGAGGGGAAACTGAGGCAGCCGTGACTTTGCAAAGCCTGTTGGCTTTCAGCTGGTATGTCCCACCGCAGTGCCCCAGCTGCAAGGGCCGTCGCTGGTATTTCACTCCCTGGTCCTGGCCTCCACGCAACTCCCTCCCTACACTGCTAACATCCTTCCCTGCACATCGATCTCTCTGGGCAGTGAAAGCTTTGGAGCGAGGTAGAAAACAAATCTGTTCTTTGGCTTGATGCCTCTCTCTGCTTCTTCGGGTCATAAATTGCAGGATGTGTTTTTGGCTTTGTGTTACATTTAATTTCTGGAGAACATTTTTCTCCAGTAAAGATTTACAAGGCTTTTTCATGACCTGGTAATTTGGTAGTGATGCTGGCGAGGATCCTGAAAGCAAAATCGCTTTGTTACTCTGGCATGTGCTGCTGCCTGGGGAGCAGAGAGGCTGCGGTGCTGCGCTGGCATCCCGCGGGCTTGGGGGACAGGTCTGCTCCGAGCACTTGGGCAGCAATGGGTTTTGCTCCCTGCTTCCCAGGAATCTCTAACAGATGCATGGTAGGAAAACACCTGGCAGATGTTTAGCAGGTTTGTTGGTTGTTTTTGTGTTTGTTTGGTTGGGTTTTTTTGGTTTTGGGGTTTTTTTTTGCACATTCCCACCTTCCTGATGAATGAGAGCAGCTTGTAGGGTAACACAGAGATCCAGTTTCAGTTGTGGGACGAGTTACAGGTGGAGATGTTGAGTTTATTTCCCATTGAGTGGCTCAGTATTTGCAGAGGACTGGTAGCGTGAGGCACAGGAACACGGGAACCCCCCTGTATTCATGGAGAACTGATTTCACTGCTGATGGCCCCTGCAAGTGACACATTTGATGGGATATTATCTGTCAGGGTGGCTTCTCATCACGCCAGAACAATCCAGTCTCTGTATGGAAGAGCCTGCAAATAGCAATAGCTCCTGGAGCGAGTGAATGGAGCCAAGGTCAGCAGAAACGGTGACACAGAGAAATGTCTGTTGGCTTGACTTGCCTTGCTGAAACCCCAGTGCAACCTCCTGGGTTGGATTGCAGAACCTGTCCATACTGATGTTACCTGGAAGGACTGTGTGACCTGGTGGCATCAGTCCAGTCTAACGTGGGGATAACTGAGTTGTTCATCCTCCGTCTACCTGCCAAAGAGAGCGAGGACACAGGCTGGGCATGGTGACGTGCGATGCCGTCCAGCCCTGCGGGGAGGGAGCCACTGGGCTTTATCTGGGTGCTGGGCAAAGGGGCTGCTCAGCTTTGCTGGGGGTCCTGGACTGGCTGGAGACGGGGATGAGAGAGCTGCAGGACGGATTAGTGGGTGCTGCATCATCCCCATCCTGGCAAACTGCCCAGTGTTAGATGGGGAAATCCTGACTTCTTGTTATGGCCACGAGTGTTTATTTTTGCTGATTTTAATGGCCTTTATGTTTCAGCCAGAGCCTTCTGCTGCGGGCTGGTGACTGGAGAGAGAGGAAAAATAACCTATGTGTGAGGGCAGGGACAGTGGCAGAGCAGGGACTGCCCTGTGTCTGCCAGGTAGACTGGTGCTGGTAGCCCCATGTCCTGGCTTGGTGGCAGTGCCAGTTAGTGACAAGTGCTTTGAGGGGGTGAAAGCACCAGTGGCGCTGCTGGCCCCCTCCCTCCCACACTGGCCACAGCTCAGCCCCATCGTGCCTACCTCCAAATGGGCAGATCCTGCTGGATGCCTCATCCCAAAGGGAAGCCCAGCACTTCCTATGTTACTAGGTTAGGATCGCCTCTGCAGCAGTTATAGATAAATATATATGTATGTATATGTATGTATTTTAGAAACTGTTAAGCATTAGCAAACTCCAAGAGAAGCCTTTTTTAGAGGTGTTATCAACAGGATGTGCCTTGAATATGTGACAGCTGGGTGGGAAGGCCCAGTAAAGGCTTTTCTTTACAGCCTCACTATGCTCAGAGCCCCCAGCCCAACCTTGTGTGTTGGGCTCACTCCCTCAGGGCTGCCATACTGGAGACCCTTCCCCTCAGGACAATGAATGAGGATAACAGGGCTGGAGCTGTTAAAATCCCACCCAGTCACACGAGCTGGGGAAGGTTTGCAGATACCCTGGTATTATAGTCATTGTGCATAACATTGAGTGATGGTTGTGACCCGCTCTGTGGGGCAGAAAGCACCTAAAAACAAATGGTTTCAGGTCTGGTTGTACCTGGGTAGAGCAGAGCATGGCAGGGTTTGGTTCCACCATGCTGTGAGCTATATAATGGTGGCAAAGCATCACTCCAGCCTGCAGGAGAGACTGTGGTTACTGCACTAGTGGCACCCATACCAGGGTTTGCACTTGCATCCTCACCAGGGTTTTTCCCTTGCAACCACATGCTGGCTGTGGTGTAGAGATCCCCACAGGGCAGATGGCAGGAAGATGTGCCAGGGGATGTTTAGGTTGGACATGAGGAAAAAGTTCTTCACCTAGAGGGTGGTGGAGCACTGGAACAGGTTCCCCAGGGAGGTGGTCGTGGCACCAAGCCTGACAATTTTCTAGAAACATTTGGACAAGGCTCTCAGACACATGGTCTGAATCTTGGGATTGTCCTGTGCAGGGACAGGAGTTGGACTCAATGATCCTTGTAGGTCCTACCCAACTCACAACATTCTATGATTCTGTCGATGGTTGGGGTGATCACTAGGTCCTGCTGCTGCCCAGGGATGCCCCCATGGGGGCATGGAGATTCCCTTGCAAGATATTTAGCTGGTCTCTGCTGGGCAAAATAGGATCTGCCTGTGGCTCAGGACTAAGTTTAGAAAACAGAGTTTACATAGCAGGCTTTTTGCTGAAAGCTGTCTTTTTAATGATGAACGTGCATCCAGGTTTGGCTTGGGCACCATTCTGTCCTGCTCAAGACTTTGGGTAAGTCACTTCCCCTTTCCGCGAATCATCTTCTTCCTTTTTTTTTTTAACTCTTTCTCCATCTCCTCCTTTCAGGGGGAGACTATCTCAGGAGTTGGAGGACTATCTCTTCCCTAAGCCTCAGAAAAGCATTTAGCACAGGGAAGTCTTTATATCACATTAACACTACTGATGAGCGCAGGTAACTAAATGCACAGGCGTATTTCAGCCTGTCCCAGACAGCCTGGAGCAGATGGGATTTCCACTGGAGCTTCAGGGAGGAAAAGGATAAAAAGAGAAATACCACAGCCCTCGTGTGCTGCTGCCCTCGGGCAGGAAGGGGTGAGCTCAGCGCTTTGCTGAGCTGTGACTTCCAGACCGAGTCACCGGCAGCATCGTCTCGCCACCCCAACTGCTCTGTGCATTGTGTGTGCGCCTGGAGAGCCGGCCGCATCCTGGCACGTCGCGTTGCTGTGCTGGGCTGCTGCTTCCCTTCTTTGGACGCGGGTTTTTGTTCTGTAGAACAAACACATGGGGCAGAACAATAAAAATAATCCCCCCTTTTCCCATTGATCTCGGCGCTGGGGCTGTGTGAACCAGCAGGCAGCTGCGGTCACAGCGAAGTCCCCGGGACATCACTTGCCAGCCGCTGCAGCAGGGTCAGGGGTTATCTGTACTGAGAAATCCCTGGGAAAGAGACACTTCCCTTTGCTGGAAGGGAAAGGGCCAGCAGGTTGGGACTGTCCAGGCTGCTGAGCTCTGCTGATATCATGGCTCTCCCTTTATCGCAGGAGATATTGATAAAAGCCCTGGAGGTAAGAGGCTGGCTGGAGCCCGATGAGCTCCCAGTGTGCTCAGGAGGGAGGAAGGGCTCTGTCTGCCATCGAGCTTTGCATGAGCAGTGCTCACCCCTTCCAGTGCTGGGAGCTGCTGTGTGAGGTGGCAGCAGCTGCTCCAGGTCACCTTGGTGAGTGTAGAAGGGCCAGGAGCTCACTCCAAATCTCTGTCCTCATGTGCTGCTACAGCAGGGGGGCCAGCCATCATCCTGGTCTGAATTCATCACTGCAAGCATGCCCAGGCCTGCAACTGCCTTCATAGGTGACCAAAATGTCTCTTTCTCCTCCCAGAAACCTCCACCTGTGAAGACCATAGCCTTGAGTTTCACACTGCGCTGAGCCTCTGCCCTCACCCTGGCCGGCCCTGCCCATGATGGCATTGTGTCTCAAGCAAGTCTTCAACAAAGACAAAACGTTTCGTCCTCGGAAGAAGTTTGAGCCAGGCACCCAACGCTTCGAGCTGTACAAGAAAGCCCAGGCCTCCCTCAAGTCCGGGCTGGACCTGAAAGCAGTGGTGCAGCTGCCTCCTGGTGAGAGCATCAACGACTGGATCGCCGTGCATGTGGTGGACTTCTTCAACCGCATCAACCTCATCTACGGCACCATGTCGGAGTACTGCACGGAGAAGAGTTGCCCCATCATGTCAGGGGGGCTCAAGTATGAGTACAGGTGGCAGGACGATAGCAAATACAAGAAGCCAACCAAGCTGTCGGCCCCGCAATACATGTGTATGCTGATGGACTGGATCGAGATGCTCATTAACAATGAGGACATCTTCCCCACCAGGATAGGTGAGTGTGCTCTGGTTCTTTGCGGGAAGGCTGGGATTGTAACTGGTGCAGGTTCCCAAGCCACTGGTGCACCTCAGGGTTGGTATTGCTGAACTTTGCCATCCCAAGGATCGCAGCCTTTCCTGTTACAGGTGTTCTTCAGTGTCTGTCACACATCCCCTTGCTACAAACAGAGCTTGGAATTCCTCATCCGGCTCCTAGGGGATGTGGAAAATGTTGTTCTTTTCTGTGCTCGAACTTTTTCCATGTATTCTGTGACTGTGAGAAATGTGTGCTGGTAGGTCATCAGCTCCCTTGTCCTTCCTCAAGGAACTGTGCGACAGGGCTGGTTAGAGGTGACCACCACATCCCTGCAGCGTGCTCTTCTCTTGACTAACCGACTCCATTTCTTTCTGGTTTTCCAGGTAGGTTCATGGTCCCAAGGTCTAACCCTTGTCCCACTTTGCTGCTCCACTTCTCAGCTCCTTTCCCTCTCTGCTAATTCATCTCTGCCCTGATTATACATCACATCTTGCTATTTAGCTGAGGCATAACCCAAGCAGAGATGCCTGACCCAGGATCTGGCCTTTCTAGCTGCCATCCCCCAGCATGTACGATGCCTCCCTTCAAAAAGTTTGACCTCAGGAACTTGCAGCAACTGCCAAAGGCAACACAGCTTGCAAACTAACTCCTCTGCTGCTGACCCGCAGTGCTTGGCAGCTGTGGGGCTGATATTAGCCCTGCTACTTAGCTGCTTTCTTGTAGTTTGAAGAGATGAGTTCAAGGGTTGGAGCTGATGCATTGGGTAGTGGGGCTGCCAGAGCCTCAGATGGCACCTTGCAGTGGTTGCTTTTCAGATGAAATGCAAAGCTGCTTGAATGTAAAAGAAGATTTAAGGAGCTTCGAGTGGAACCACCTGGCTTTGTGAGTCTTCTTGACCTTTTTTGTTTTCCCAAGCAGCACAGCTGACAGAGCTGTGTGATATCAGTGCAGTTTAGGCTCAGGAGTTTAATTAATACACTGGGCAACATTGAAGAAAATGGTCTGTGTGGAATTACTGGCTGGCACTACTGGCTGTAGCCTTGTTTGGCTGTGCTGTAGCATCTGGCCGTGTGGCTTTTTTGGCCCTGCTGGTTTTCACCCCATCTCTGGCACTTTTCCTTCCTTCTGCTTTCCACTTCTTTCATTTTGGCATGGGGGTCGTTCTGGGTGAGATCAAGGCTGGCTGCAGGCGATTGTAGTGCAAACCTGTTTTATTTTTCCCTTCCAAAGCCATTCCCAGGGTCCCTCTTCCAAGCCCCTTTTCTGGGGGTGGAAACGACCCTCATGTCCCTGAGTGACTTCAGTCCCCTTGCTGGCATGTTTTGATGTTTTGGTACTTCTGGCCTTGCACATGAGAAAGGGAACGTAGCCTGAGATCACAATTTAAAATGTGTGAAAGGCTGTTGTTGTTGGCAGGGGGAGGAGGGAGCCGGTGGCACTTTGTCATCAGTATGTCCCCAATTAACTGCCTTTCACTGGCCTGCCTTGTGCACCGGGTAATTGCTCAGCAGCTCTGGCATTTCAGAAGATGGAGGTGTTTGGCTGAAGGGAAATGTCACATCTGCCTGTTCCTGACGTGTTGTTCCTCATCACTGCACCAGATGATGGGGGAAGCTGGGGGACGTGCTGTGGGGAGGGACGTGGGGCTTGGGGACAGTGGCCGAGTGAGCAAATGGAAAATGTTCAGCCTCCCTCCTAAAGAGGCAGCCCTTTGGGAAAAGACAGAGGGCAAGAGGAATAGGGGACTGAGAGGATGTAGGGGAGATGTGAGTGTTTTAAGGAGGGGGAAAAGTCTGACAATGGGAAGGGAAAATAAATGTCATGCTCTGGGGTTGAGATGAGGCTCTTCAATATTAGTAGTAGAGATGGGATTTAGTGTGAAGGTTTGTTCCACTCCTGCTCACACTGGAGAGGTCCACTGGCACAGCGGACCACCATCTCTGCGGGCATCTCATGAGCTGTGTGCATCTCAGCTTTCCCTCCTGGCCCCTCTTTGCCATGTGCAACAAAACTGTCCCAGCACAAAGATTTCCCTGGCTGAGGCCACCTGACCGCAGACAAAACAGATTTCTTTTTTTAGGAATAGCAAATGTTCCCCAAATTTGCTAACGTTGCCTGAGGCTAACCTCAGCATCCCTCTCCATCCAAAAGCTACAAAGCCTGAAGCACTGTGTGATTCAGCAGGGCTCACTCGGTCATGGCTCTCCTGACAGTTAAGGGGGAGGTATTTAATGGGTCAGAGTGGGGAAATCCTTCACCTTGGGGTGAGAGGCTCAGCTGGAAATAGGCAGAGATGGTTCACTGGCTTGTGGGCTCCCAGGATCCTTTGGCATCATGGGAGAGACCTTGGCTGGAGTAAATGAGCACAATTCCAGTGACCAGAGCAGAGCTGGCCTGATTTGCACCACTAAAGCATCTGGTCCTTCAGCATGTGTCAGAGCTGTAGAGATGGGAGGAGAGCAGAGTGACCCGGGTGACAAACACTTTTGGTTTAGCCAAACTGCATGATGCAGAGCTTGTGTCAGCTCTACAGTGAGGCTGGAGGGGCAGCCAACATCTGAAACAGCAGCAAGGGAGCCCAACGCCAGCAGACAGTTTGTGACCTGGCAGAGTTAACCAACAGGACCGCAGCCCTTGGATGCTTGCACCAGGAGAAAATCCCTATGGTGGTTTAATTGGGCTGGGGGGGCTGCTTCCAAGTTAGGGGGAGATACTGCATCTTCCCCATCCCCAGGGAAATCCACCCTGCTGCAGAGCTTGGTCCCACTTAAAGGCTTTGCTGTATAATCCTTCCTCTGGAGCGGAAACTTGTTTGTCTGCCAGTCAAGATGAGACAAATCCCTGCATGGGGTGAGCTGTGCCAATCTGATCGCTATAAATCTACAGCAGCAGCAGCTTTCCCAGACGACCCGTGTCAGTTTGCATGTGCTAGTGCTCTGTTTCCACTCTTCCAACCAACGTAGCTGTCCTGAAAAATACATTTAAATGGAGAATAAGCATTGTTCCCATGCAAGGGGAAGAATAAATGATTCTACAGGTGTATTTTTACCAGCTGGTAAAACTATATTAATAGATTTCTTCAGTGAGTGGCCACGTGAACAAATTACCACCTGGAAAATATTAGCTCCTCCTGGTCATCATTCTGCCCCGTGGTGCTTGGTTTTAGGGAGCTGCTGCTGGGCGGTAGCATGCTGGGGAGGAGGGCTGGGTGGATGGGGTTTGCTGGGTGGATGGGATTTGCAGGGCCCATGGCAGTTGGCTGCATCTGCACTGGTCAGCCCAGCAGCAGGATACAGGTCACACAATACCAGGCATCCTAGATCAGCACCGTCGCAGCTGCTGAAACCTCTCCATTATTAAATCAGTGCAGACGCAGGGTTTGGACCAGACCCAGCGCTGGAAACACCCTGTGCTCTCTGCCAAATGTGGCTGTGACTCTAAAGAGCATCAGTCACAGGAGATTTTAGAAGAGTTCTTGGAAAGCTTTTCAAAACTCACACTCTACCATTCAAGTGTGGTCCCAAAACAATTATAAAAAAACCAGATAAAACTTGGTGCAAAAATTATCTGAAACTTTCTCCCCATAAGAACAGGAGAAAAATGTTCAGAATTCAGCTAATTATTGCCATTCTCTCAGCTGGCAATTTTGTACGTGATTTGTCTTTTTTATTCTGCCTGTCTTCTTCCAAAATTAACACCACACCAGCTTGCAGCTGCCATCATGCCATTAGTTTTAAATGGAGCTTTATTTTTAGGAAAAAAATGAATCATTGAACACCACAGTGGCCAAAATGGAATTGAGAAATAATAACAACAATAATTCATCACGTAGTTCATTGAGTTACTGAGTTACTGCTTTTGCAGAGAAAAAAAAAATACAATTGCCAAGAAACAAAATAGCTTCCCAGTACTGATTCATCATGAAAAAATTAAATTGGCTGGAGCACGAGGCTTAGGGATGGGAGAGATGGCAGGAAAGATCCAAGAGCCATTTTCAGTCCCTTACCGTAAGCGCAGGCACTTTGTTACCTCTCATTTTCATTTCCTTTTACACATGATCCCATATGGTTTCCTTATGTTTTGAAGAAATCGGCGAAGAGTGAGGAAAACAGATTTCTTGGAGCATTAAATCACATCTTGGGGTTTTCAAGCAAAACATCCAAGATAAACTGAAGGTGCTAATTCATTTCAGGGCTGTGAGTCACACCAGCGCTCTGGCTGCATTGCAGTGGGTGAAATTGTACCTGCTGTACTTGGAGCTTTTGCCCTGGCTTGGAGCATAAGGTTCTGCCTTTTCCGCTGCCGTGGATGGCTGCTCTGCTCCACTTCTCTTGGGATTGGGCTGTGTTTCTGCCCTGGAACTGCCGATGCTCCTAGTGACCGTCTGTCTGGTCTGTCTGCATGGTCTGGGTAGCACATGCCTGTGATCATGGGTGCAGAAAAAGAGGTGACCTTTGTACACACGTTTTTCCTGGTAGCTGAGTGAGCTCACATTGCACCCGTGGTCCCCTCCTTGTCATGCTAGAAGAGTCAGGGGGGGTCTAGGTTGTGGGTTTGCTGCTGCTTCCTCCGAGGTTCCTGGATGGTGAGCACCAGTAATTTAAATGTAAATATCATTTCAGCGCCTTTAAATCAGCCCAGATGGGTTTTGTGGTGTTCTGCTGTTCCCTGGGGCAAGCTGGGACCAGCATCAGTGGGACATGCTGGGATGGTGTTGCCAGGTTGCCGTGGGTGTGTGTAGGGCTGGGGAGGGTGAAGCAAAGCCAAGAAACATCACACTGCCAGGGTGGTTTATCAAAATTTGGGGCTCCATCCTGACTTTCCCCTGGCCTGCTACACCCCTGCTAATGGATCATCTCAGCTGTGCAGAGTCAGTCCCACCAGCCTCATCCCTTATTCTCACCAAGCTGCTACTCCGGCTGGTTCATGCCACCACCTCAGAGATGGTGAAAGTCACCCAAGCAAGGGCCACCACTGCCCCCTTCCCAAGTGCCACTTATCAGCTCATTGGCCACTAATGGGGTCTCTCTGCCGCTGGCTGTAGCGGTGATCTGCCTGGCCAGCCTGGCAGGGAGGTGGGAGTCACGGTGGGAGCAGCCCGCTGCCCCGCACGCCTGGGGAATGGGCCCCATTGCTCCCTGCATGCCTGGTCGCGGTGACCCCTCCTAGCAGGCAGGACAGCTCCGACGTGAAGGTGCGGGGGCCTGGCTGCTCAGTTTAAAGCTAAACATCTGCAAGGGCAGGAGAGGTGCGTGGCCAGTGCCGAGATCCCTGTCCCAGGGCTTTCCCCTTGCTGGGATGTGCTGGCTGCAGTGCGTGCCTGGCTGCAGGGAGGAGGCACAGGCTGCTCTCACTGTGTCCCCTCCTGTGCTGGAGAGGATGTCACATGCGTTTTCTGCTGGACATCCGCTGGGCCAGCAGCTGTGACCCAGGGCAAGCTGTATCTATGAGGGATCTTTCTGCTGCTCTCCCCGGGTTGGTCAGATGCAGCCTTTACTGGAGAGCCCTTTCCTTTCGGCTCTGGGCAAGGGGATGGGGAATTTCTCCAGTTCCTCGGTGGTGTGGCTAGTGCCTGCTGGGGGCTGTGCCGTGGGTTGCTTGCCAAGTCACTGGAGATCGGCAGCGAGGAAAGACTGCTGCTGGTGGAGGAACCCTGCTTCCCAGATATCCGCCCTGCTTCCTTCCCGCAGGGAAGTGCTGTGATCAACGCAGGGTCCAGTCGAGCATCCATAGCCTGTATTGAGGGTCCTGGCACAGGAGGCACAGATGTGGCTGCAGCATGGGGAGAGGAAGCAGGACCCTGGATTGTCCCCTGTGCTGCTGGGGCTGCCCGTTCTTCCCCAGGCATGTGGGCAAGCGAGAGGGGTGATGCAGGGAGAAGGAGCCAGAGCCAGACCCCAGTGATCTCTGGACCCAAAGGACCATGGTGGGTGAAGGTGTTGTGACATGGTAGGGCCAGGTGTGACCTGTAGAAGTCCATCGGTGAGTGCCAGAACCACTACAGCTTGGCCGTGTCTGGAGGGGATGGTTGCACACTGACACCTTGTGATGGACACAAAGAAGAGCAGCCCAGCTTCACCTCTCTGGAGCTGCTGCTGCTGCTGTGTTCAAGTGAAAGGACAATGGTAGGGTAGCCCAGAAGGGTACCTGTAGGTCCTGGCAGCTTAGTGATATCTTTCCAGCCATCATTAGGTACAGGATAGCTCAGTAGCTCCCGTAGTTGCTGACGGACATGAGATTTGGACTAGATGACCTTTAAAGGTCCCTTTCAACCCAGGTGATTCTATATTTATGCTAAATCTCTGTTTCCTGATGCACGAGCTGCTTTTGGAGAAACCAGGATATAGCTGGAGGTATCTCTCCTCTAAGTCTCTTAGCTGCCAGCATGTCCATGAAGACTTGCTGGTAACTGATTTATAGGACAGGATGGTTCCTGGCTATCCTTAGGACAAAAGCAGCGGAAAGCCACTTGTCACCATCTGCCAGCTCTGGAGGTGGCTCATCTAACAGCGGTATCTGGACCATAGATGCTATCAGCCCTGAAAGTCTGAGATCCTTTTGATCTGCTGTTCACTGTCTGATCTTATTTCCTTCTCAGCTCAGGACTGGGTTGAGGTTTGCTGCTTTCCTTCACTATCACTCTTCACAATTTGGTGATAAACTGCCGGTGACTGGTCAGCTCTGTTTTCTTCCTTGCTGCCTGCTTTGACTGGAGGAGGCACTAGGCAAGTGGGACGGGTGACAAACTGGAGGCAACAAATGCCTTGCTGTCTTCCTGCTGGCACCTTGCTGAGTTCCCAGCAGCGACTGCTCGCCTCTGGTCCCAGGGAGACAGGCTGTTCAGAACAGTGTGTATTCCCCAGCTGGGGCCAGGCAACATGCATTGACCAGAAACTACTTAGCGTGATGAATTTTTCTTTATTAAAAAAGTTTCTTGACTGGTTCTTCAAAGCTGGTCTGCAGGGGCCACCCTAATGGCACGTCAGAGTCCCTAGCTGGGTGATTACAGCTTTTATTTGCTCAGCAAATTCTCACTCAGTGCAAAAAGCTTAAATGAAGCCGTTAATAAAGCACTGTGTCCCTCCTGACTTCAAGGAAACCTAGAGATCTCTCTCCAATCCCTCCCCTTACCAGACTGGCAGGCAAGGAGAGTTCCACAGTCAAGAGTGCAGGGCAGAAGCAGATCTCTGGTACCATCTCTAAGCTGCTGGCATGGGCAGAGTCTGGTTGTACTTTGCCAGATGTGAACACCTTTCACAGAAAGTCCTAACAGGATCTGCTAGAGCTGGCAGTGAAACAGGTCATGCCGAGGTCCCTGCTGCAGGAGCAGCCCTAGGGCTGCAGCGTGCTTGTGGCTATGCAGAGCAGCGGCCATGAATCAGTCTCAAAACCACCTCTCTGTGTTCGTATGATGCTGAGCTGAGATATGTGTCTTCCTGCAAGCGGTGGGACATCCACCCATGGCATGAGCACATGCACTTCTGCCCTGCCCACCGCACCCATGCTGCACACGAAGCGAAGTGAGGCTGGGCTGAGGGTCACGCTGTTTTAGGCCAAAGATCATGTTCTGTGACGAGTGCTGCAATACTGAACCCAGCACCTCCTGAACCCCGGCCAAAACATGGGCTCCACGCGTGACGTTGGAGAGACAGATCCTTTGCTCTTTGCCACCCATGCAGGAGATGGTCATGGCACTGCTGCTGGGAAACAAAACTGCCAGGAGCCTTTGGGAAAAATAGTTTAATTGCCTAGTGAGTCTGATGAGGAAGATTCAAAGAGAAAATTACCATTTTTAATTCTTTTAGCGAAGAGATTTAACGATGCTTTCCACAGCACAAAATGTGTGAGCTGGCCATGGTTGAGTGGAGATTATTTTGAAAGATTTTTAAGAGGTTATGTGCTGCATTAGTAAGAAGCTGAGGGAAGAGGCTGGTACAACTGTGGGAAGGGAGGTTTTTATTTTGTTCTTTGCAAATTTATATTTAATTGCTCAGGGGAGAGGAAGAAGATTCAGAAAAACAAATTCTAGTTGTTTCATTTTCCACCTCCCAGAAAATATGTTCAGTGTTTCAAAGCCATGTTTCTTGTAGAGGTTTACCCTAAGCTAGCTAACACCGACTGTATCACACCTCTGAGATTCTCATTGTGACCACAGTGTATTTAGACAAGGATGGAAATGCAGAGTATGAAATTGGTGTCCTTGTGTGGGACAAGGCTAAAAGTATAGATCAATGTGTGGTGGGTCCCATTCCTTAACAACCTGGGAGGATATCTCAAGAGGGAGCATCATACAGGTACAAAGCAATTACAACTGAAGCATCGCTAAGGTGGGCAGTTTTCTTCCTTTTTTAATGAGACATTTGTTTGAAACAAGGATCAGGAAAAAAGGTAGAAACCTCACCTGTTTGTGTTGATGCATTAGAAGTGATGTTTGAGGGTGTGTGGAGGAAGAACAGTATGAACCATGTTTTTAATTCAGAGGTCCAGGGAAGGTTTCTTTCCTGCTGGGAGGGGGTTTAATTTTGTTCATGAACCTGGGTAAATACAAATTGATTTACACTGTGCCTGCACAAGCTTGCAGGGGAAAGGCAAGGAGAGAGGGAAGATTGCTTTGGATAGAGCCAAACACGAAGAGATGTGTCCTCCCTAATTTTCTCTTAGGGAAGTTCCCCAAATCTTCAGACCATGCCTGTGTGAAATTTCTGGCCACGAGGAAGTATGTGGGGTGAGCTAGATGGCACCTTGCCCTGGTGTAGCTGTCACCCTTGATATTAGCCAAGGGAGTCTTTCCTCATCACCCATGGTTGCCTGTTAAACACAGCAGGGACAGGGAAACTGTAGCTGGTTTGGTTTTTTTAATAATGGTCAAATGGCTTCCAACTTGCTTTTGCTTTGCAGGTGTTCCCTTCCCCAAGCAGTTCCAGCAAGTTTGCACTAAGATCCTCACCCGCCTCTTCCGTGTCTTTGTCCATGTCTACATCCACCACTTTGACAGCATCATCAATATGGGTGCTGAGGCTCACGTCAACACCTGCTACAAGCACTTTTACTACTTCATCAGGGAGTTCAGCCTCGTTGACCATCGGGAGCTGGAGCCTTTGGTAAGGATGCCCCAGGGACTGAGACGTGGAGGGGGTAAGCAAGGTGTGGGCTGAATGCAGCACTGGTAAATTCAGGTGTGAGCTGGACTCTAAGCAGTATAGTCACCCTCTCTGTAACCTTTCAGCCAACCTGCTTCAGAAGCACATCCATGTGCTTATCCATACAATAAGGGCTGGGTTGCAGAAAAGACCGTATGCAGCAGCACAGAGCATGAGGATCTGATCCCAGAGAGACAAAAGTGCTGAGAAAAGTCCCAGCATGAGCTGCCTGTTGAAGAGTATCCTTGTTGAGCTGCCTGTTGAGGAGTATCGGGGATGCTCCTGCCCCCGAGTGCTACACGCTTTTACTCCTTCTCTGCTTTCGTTTGTCTCAGTTTACTGCCTGTCTGCTCTGATCGTGGTTTGAGGGGGATGGAGGGACACTGATCTAATCAGGGGAGACTTGAATGACAACAGCATCTACATTAATTACTTCATATAGTTTGATTGTGACCTACATCATCACAGAGGTCCTCAGCTCCTGAAAATGGCAGCTTTGCATCACTGTGTCCTCTGTTAGTTTTCCTCACCTCTGCTCCTCATGACAAACTTCTTTAGCATTGATATACAGCCCATAATGGTGTCATCTCCTTTGACTGATGCTTGCTAATATAACTAATTAGCACCTAATAGCCAAAGCAGAGGCTGACATTGCTAAACTGGTTTGCAATGCCAGTGACTCACATGCAACAGGAGATGATTTATGGGTCTGGATGAATCTAAAATGAACAGATTTTCCCATGTGATGCAACCAGGGTTAAACTACAAGGAAATGAGACACATTTCCCTCTGGTCTATCTGTGTCTCATTTCTTGGTGTGCCCATTGCCTGGCATGTGAGCCCTACAGCAGACCCAACCATGCAGGAGACCTCCTTCCCCAAAGTGATGACTTGCTGTAGGTGTGTATGAGAGTGTCCTGCAACCAGAGGATGGCTGTGTCCAGGATGCAGTGCTGAGTTGAGGAGGAAGCAACAAGTTGCAGCAACTTATGAACAACTTTCAAAAACTGAAAGTGGTCCTTCTGGCCATGCTGATGCCCCAGGGAGGCTGTAGCTTGGCAAGTAGTTTTCACAAGTTCTCAAGATTTGTGGAAAGGCGGTAATCTCTCAGTAGGGATGAGATGAACTCCCTGCATGTGACTATGGAAGGCCACCAAGCATGTGGACGGAGCACATTGGGAGCAGGACAGTAGGTCTAAGTGCTGTATTACAGTTGGAGCTTCCCAAATGTGGACTTTCTACAGAGGAGCCCCTGTTTTGACAACTAGGAATAAGAGGAAAGAAAAAAAAGCACCTCCCCAGCCAGAAAATTTCCTGTTAGGTCCATACAGCTTAGAAAAATTAGAGAGATTGTGGAATGAAGGAGTTCTTGGTTTCTACGCCTGCCTCTGGCTGAGTCTCCTTTTGCTACCTCAATTTCCCTTTCGTCAAACTTCTCTGGGAAGTGATTTCTTAGCAGCAAATCTTAGGAGCCGAGAATGAGATAGATCCTTTGTACAGACAGAACTAGTGACAAGCAGTGATTCACTCTCTTAAATCAAGAAATGTGGGGGCAGAGAGAAACTGTGCACTTGTTTCCTTGCCAAGGGCAGGTCATGGTGCTGCACAGCAGTGCTGGCAGAGGTCCAGCTGGTTACACACCAAGGCAGAGCTGTGGGGATTTCCAGAGGGTGATGAATGCCTTGGACATTTGGGGCCAGCAGCATCTTGACAGTCTACTGCCCACCCCAACCCATCCTGTTCAAGGCTGTTTTTGTGTATGTGGTTCTGTGTTAGTGGGGTGGGCTGGATGCTGTTGTAAGAGGATATTCACAGTCTTCTCACCCCCTTCTTCTTTCTCCTTCCGAAATGTTTGCAAACACTTCCCGTTTACAATGTGATTTTGTGGCAGAGCGTTGGCTTTTCATTTCATGGCAGGGTTCTGTGCTCAAGTGATTTTGCATGTTAATCCTACAGAGAAGCCCTCTCTTTGCCACCCCCCCCAATGGATTTTAAAAACGAAGCTCTCAGCGATGAAGAGCTGAGATTTCAGCTTCTGTCCCCCTTGGTTATATCACTAAAGGGCCTTTTATAGGGTTGCTTAAGGGTCATCCTACTTTCCTAGGTGTTTTTGCAGAGTTGCATCCTTCCTTCTCCACAGACCAGTTCTACTTCAGATCTACTTGGGGAGTACATTTTAATGTGCAAACCTTTCTCTGGAGTGTGTGAGGGAGTCTGTGTGCACATGCAGAGTCATAGGCCATGGAACCTGATAAGCCAGAGGGAATCACAGACTTTCCTCGCTGCAGTAATGGACATGATTTACAAGCTATTAGTTGAGCTCCTTAAGGCAAGGAAAAAATACCACCTTCCACCATCTGAAAGCTGGACACCTTCCTAATGCAGCTGGCATGATGCCATCCTGGCTACAGAAAAGTCTGTTAGCCTAAACAGAGCTTGTTCTTGCAGGAGGTTTCCCATGGCCCTCTGTTATTGGCACTCATTCACACTGCAGTGTGACTGTGGGATCTCTTGTCAAAACCACAGGTCCTTTGGATGAGCTGTTGTCACCTCCTGGAGTGAGAACCGCTGGCTCCCAGGAGCCGCTCTGTGTCCTGTCTCCTGAGGCAGCTGCAAGCAGAGGCTCTGAGGATGGCACTGCCTTGTCTGGCTGCTCCACGGCTGAGTCAGGACCAGGACCTGCATCTTTCAACATCTCAGCCAATGCTCTTTCCTTGGACTGCTTGCAAAGCTAGGGCACAGCCAGAATCACCTTGTGCCACAGAGACCGAGGAGGCTGCCAGGAGGGAGCTGCTGAGGCGGAGCAGTTCCCAAGAGGGTTGGCATGGGAAATAGAGAAACACTCCTCGAGAGCGTCCTTGGGTTGTTTTTGGACACCTACCAAACTGCCTGACATGTCACTCTACTAAAACCTGTCTTTTGCACTTACTGTTAATTTCTTTTCTCTTCCTCTTCAATGCAGAAAGAAATGACAGAACGAATCTGCCACTGAAGCATTTTGGCAGGTGAACTCAGCTGGCTCATTCGGAGCCTGACGGAACAAGACATGCTGTGGTGGGAGACCTCTTCCCAAGGACCTGCTCTGGGCATTTCAACTCACTGATCTATGAAGACTGCAGAAGAGCCTCTTCAGGCCAGGGCTGAATCCTAAGCTTGCCAAACTTCTCCAGACAGATTTTCTTTTTAATAGATCCCGGTCTCTGATGTATGCCTCCTGTCATAGAAAGCCACTGACTTACTGGAGAATGAGGCAAGTTTGGTTGACTTTTGCACACTCTGGTTTCTATGACTCAGTCCCATGTCTGATAACACCCCTTCAGCTACCTTTCCTCTTGTTTTGTCCTCAGCTACACTGATCTCCAAATGCTTTATTAGTGATTCCTGTCCTGTGAGCAGGCATGACCTTGGCTATTGAGTAATGCCTGTTACCTTCCTACATGCAGTGGGTTTGTGGGAACACCTGAGATGTCCTCTGCAAAGCTGGTGACATTGGGTCCCAATTGTCTTCATGTGGTTAGTTGCTGATGTACTGTTTTATCCATGAGTTACAAATATCTCTCCTTCTGCCCTAATTCATGCTTTACCAAAGGGACCCTTTTTCTCCCCAAGGGACCCTTTTTCCCCCCCAAGGGATTTTTCATGCTCAGCAAAGGGGACTTCATGATGTTCTGAGATACATCCACCACCACTTGGACTAAAAGGAAGGTGGCCCCATGACTGAAGAGGTGAACTAGGCCACTTCATTTCCTGACATCTTGTCAGCTCAAGACCAGCAGATGCTGGCTGTAGAAATTCTTGGTTTTCCATTATCCAAGCCTACAGCACAGTGAATCAGGTGGAGAAGGACTTTAAGAGACATCTGATCTCGGCTGTTCTTCCAAAAAGGCAAGATCAGTCCTTCTTCAACCTTTTTGACCTTTTGACAGCATGCTATTGCTACCTGGTCTGTGCCATTATTCCCCTGAAAAGTGTCACACCTCAAAATTTCTACCCCTTCTGCTTGCAGTGCCTGATAATGAGTGTTGTGTTCTCTGTGCCATTTTTCTTTTGACAAGAGTTGGAAGTTGGGTTTTGATTTTTTTTTACTGCTTTTGAGGAGTTAAAATCAAATTGTCTGAGCCACACCATGTTATGTTTTCTATGAAAGTTTTGTATACTAGACACAGCTGATATTTATAATCTGGGGTTTGCCCATTTTTGGGGTAGGGAGGGGAAGTGACTAGAAAATGTAAATATTTAGGCCAACATTAAAGTGCACAAGTGAATTTTTAGTGCTCAGAGCACTTATTTTGATGTGAAAATCTATTTTTTTTTAATCCTGTGTACCAGATGTATATTTTTACATGGAAATAAAACAGAGCAAAATGGACACAAAACCACCTGATACATCATTCCTGTATTTTCTGTGTAAAATAATCAGTAAAAGTCCAAACATTTTTGTTCTGTTACTAATTAAAGAGACATTAATAGGCCTGGTGTCCTTCATTCTTCCCTGATTCATCTGTAGGAAGAACAGGCATCATGAAAAAGCACCCAGGATGACTTAAAGAGTGCATTTCCCCTGCGAGTTGCAGCACTGATGAATCTCAGTGCTGTGTTGAGACCCCACCTTGCATCTCAGAAAGTGGCTTGACATGGGCTAATGCTGCTGGTCTGCATCCCGCCCTTGCAGACTTTTCACCAGTATCCCACCTGAAGGTATTTTTCCAGTGATGCACAGTGGTGAGTTTTGCTCACTACTTTTTCCAAAGGTGTGTGGTTCCTAGGTCTTGCAGCCTCTTCTTGCAGTCAGGAACAGCAGGAACAAATCACTGTGTGGTGCAGAGGCAGGAGATGACAACAGGTCTATTGGGAACCTTCTGCATTCTTGAGGAGTGAGGCCTGGGTGGACTCAATGCACCGGACCCTCTGGAAGCTGGTAAGGTTGAGATTTATGGAGAAGCTGTCTCAACAGTGGGGTCTAAGGGATGAACTGATAGCAGTCTACAGCTACTTCAAGGTGAGGTACAAAGATGACAGAGTCAGTCTTTTCTCAACAGTTGAAGACAGTGAGATAGTGACTGACAACCACAATTTGTGGCTTGGGGGGGTTCAAATTAGACAAGAGATAAAAAAAACTTAAGAGGGTGGCAGCCAGTGAACAGATAGCCGGAGAGGAAACGTTGGCCATCCTCAGTTTAACAAGACCTGGTTTAAATAAGGCCCATGCACAGAAACCTGCTCATATTTTTGTCCTCCACATTGTCCTGTGGCGATGAGTTCCACCAGGTAATTATGCTCTATGCATTACAAAAGGGGAGGGTACTTTGTTTTTAAACATATGCCTGAGGGTCCAAGCCTCATGGGTGGAGGGCAGAGTGAGCTGTGCTCCTTACCAGGGTATCTGAGGCCTCTTGGCTGAATTGCTACCACATTTATAGTCATAGTAATGAAGCAGCAATGGATCTCTGTAGGACCACCACTGCCTGAAAGGTCTTTCTGTCTCTCTCCAAGACACTGAGCCTGAGTGCTTCCCAGCCTGGAGTGGTAATGCCTGAGCGCAGCAGAGATGTTTATGAAGCAGAAGCACTGAGATAAGTATCTAAGTCAAACTTCTTCTCCTTTCAGAAGGCTGAGTTGTGTCTATGAGGCTTCAACATCTCCAGAGCTTCAACAAACATCCCTGTGCAATTTGAAAGCAGTCAGGAACCCTGGGATGCATTAAATATGCACGTAGCTCTTGTTAGCCCCAGCTCTCCAAACAACGCATCTGCTCATCTGGCTGCCAGGTCCCTGGGACTCTTTTGGCTCTTTGTAAAATCCCTGGGTTCTCCTGAAGAAGGGGAGATGTGCTACTGCCAGGATTTTATTTTCCTTCTCTGCAGCCACAGCCTTCTCTGTGTCCTTTGGGACCGAACAAAAGGCTGTGGCATCACTCACTGGGTCAGACAGAGACTGGTACAGGAGAGATGCTGTGCTATGCAATGTCTGCAGACCCTGGAGAATTAGCCTTGGATGGGGGAAAAAAGGGTTTGTGAAGCATAATGGTTCCTGTCCCAGTGCCATGGGGATGGGACGTGGAGAGGACTTGGGCTTGGTCAGTGAAGCATACTGCCCTTGCCCAGGCATAGGCGGGGTTCAAGGCTGACCTACCCTGGCAGCCTAGTGGGCTTGGGCCATGGAGTAGTTGTGGAGGTTTGGTCTGAGTGGGAGCTCCTGGGTTTAAGCGTGCCTATGCTAAGGCTGGACAGTCCTGGGTGAATGGTCACAATAACCAAGACACGATCTGGTCTGAGATATTCCTGCTCTTTTGGTGAAACTTGTAAAGTGGAAGAGAAAACTTGGGAAGAAAGGAAAAAGAGCCAAGGAGAAGCTGTTGTTTCCAACTGTTAAAATTATCTCTCCAAGCTGGGAGATGATAATGAATCCACTTGGGATCAGAAAGGGATGAGATGGGTTAATAACACTACATCCATTCCTTGATTGCTTTCTTGAAGGTGGGGGAAGATGCTGATTCTAGCAGAGAGTTTCAAAACTAGAGGCAAGAGTGCTTCTCTTGAATGTGTGCAGCTTTTACTTTCTGAAGGCTGATGGCTTTGCTAGCACAGCTCAGTTGGCCAGATTCCCTCATGCAGGTCAGGGAAGGACAAATGACTCATAACTGTCAAGAAAACCTCAAAGCAAGAGCGTGGCATTCAGCTCCCTGCTGAAAAGAGACCCTGAGTCAGAGCTGAAATGCCAGTGGTGTGTGGGGGACTACTGCATGTCTGCACAGATGCAGAACATAGCAACAGCAAATGAGGTCGCTACACGAGAGAGTCTGTTTCTGTAGAGGGGTTGTGGGGGGGGGGGGGGGAAATAAGCATAAAAGCATGGTCTGCCTGCAAATTTCTTGAAGTTTAAGGTCTCAGTCAAACACAGGCCATTCAGCTCTATTAAGGCATGCTTCTCTGATATTTTTTAGGATACCAGGTGATGGCATCTGCCATCTATAGGGCAAGACTCACTACCTGTGTAGTCACTCAATGCTGGCCACATTCTGACTGCCCCATCCAAGCTGGCTCACTGCTGGGGACAGCCACAGATTCTTCAGCAGCAACAAGGATAACTGGGATAGATCAGATGAAACCCACTGGATCCTAAGTGAGTCCAGCAGCTCCATGACTACTGCTTCTTAAAAGTATCTGTTACTTGTTCTCCCAAATCATGTGTTTTGGTGGAAAACTTGAAGGAAGTTTGGGACTTTGCAGACACCCTGAGGCTTCTCTTGCAGAACAGTTGGGTCCAGGTTCTGGTTGCTGGGGTGCGGGTTGCTTCATACTCAGCAAGTGGTGGTGTGCATTTGACATCCTCCTGCTGGGAACAATAATCATGAGGGGGAGGAAGAGGTTCCATATTTTCAGGATTCTTCACTTGTATGACTCTACAGCCTGTGTTAGAAGGAGCAGTGCCACTTGGGTAGCTGCTCCAGCAGCTATTTCATTATGAACTTTAATGAAGCTGTACCACCTGGGTGCTGACATACTGGAACAGGCCTCTCCTTTGTCATTTAATGTTTTATATCCATTGGGCCAGTTACCAATTGCTTTGGGCTATGCCCTAACCACGCAGTGAGGTAAGCATTTTGCCATCTGTTCATGTGCCTGTCAGGTGAGCACATGTAAGAGCCAGCAGTCTCAGGGCAACTTGCTGTAGGCATCCTGGGCTGGAGGCCAGGACCAGCACTGCACTCATGGTCTCACTCCCTTGGGTCTTACTCATCTTGCAGTTTTCCAGTAGTGCCTGGATTCTCCACACTTATGTGCGCCAGAGGCAGTAAGAACTGAGATGTACACAAGGTCTCAGTCCCAGCCTCACCTAGCAAGGTGGATGTGCTGGTTTTGGTAGCTACATATAGGTGGAGATAGTGTTATGGAAGGCCTTGATTTCTAATGCTGTGGCAAAATGTTTGGCTGTTTTGGTGCCTGTGCTCATTTCTAAGGACTTGCTTTCTTTCAGTCCTTGAATTGCTTC